CAAACCTGGAAGTGGACTAGGAGTACTTCCAGTCCACTTCCGGGTCTACTGGGGAGTGCATGAGGGGGCCACCTGTGCCAGCATCTCAGCATTCACAAGCCACCTGGTACCTTAAGTTATGTAGGAAAAAATGTGTAAAGCTCTGTCTGTATACGAATCTCTGAATCTTTCTGAATCTCTCCAAATCGATTCGGAGGGTTCCGATTCAATTCAGAGAGATTAAAGGGTCTCCTGATTTGATTCAGATTTAGAGATTTGGCCACTGAATCAGGCCGAATCTCTGCCGAATCGAATCAAGGATCAAAGCTTTGCACAGCTCTAATAACTACTAGGTTTTGTACCTGAGGCAAAACTATGCTGTGGGTAGTGTTGGGAAGATCAGCTTTACCTGCCCTGGGGGCTCAATGGGCATTTATACACATTTGTCTGCTCCAACGCATGGGAGATCTGCATGCAGCTTCCACCATTTTCTCAGCGCTGACATGTATTTTGCCATTTATGGAAACGTATGCAGCGCAAGCATGTGTACAAATGCCCAAAGTCCCTGGCTGCTGCTGCCATGATGCAGTCTGCCTATCTCCTGGTCATTTGCTGCTGCTATGGCACAGACTCCCTGGAGGAGCTGTCATTCTTGCACCACATCTTAGTTGTGCCTGGGGTTGGTGCTCCAGTTGCCCACTGCTAGTTACATTATGGTAGGGCAGGGCAGGGTAATGGTTTTATCAGTGGGTTTTAACCTGCAGCAAACTTCCTTACTGTCAGAACAGTAGGACAGTGGAATAAGCTGCCTGGAGAAGTTGCAGAATTTCCTTCATTTAAGGTTTTCAAGAAAAGGACAGATAAGCATTCATCTGGGGTAGTATAGGAAAAGTGCATCCTGCTTTTGTGCAGGGAGTTGGACTGGATGATTCTTGAGGTCCCTTCCAACACTATGATTCTATCTATCTAATGATGTTGGCAAATAAATGATTATTACAAGCCTGTCTTCTTGATATCTGTGACACTGGGATGAAAAGAAATGGAACAAAGATCTGACAGTTCTTGCAATGTCAGAGGTTTGGCATGGCTTTGGTTCTAGCTTCTTCTACCATTTCCTTTTAAGGTTGTAATGAATAACCACTCATGTAGTTATGGTTCATTCCAGAAGCTTGTGAATAACCAGAATTGGAAAAAAAATCAATGCAGCTTCACTACTTTTATTTTTTAAATGTTCAAAATAGTCTAACTGATAGTTGGTAATAGTCTAGTTACCAACTGACTTTTTAAAATCTCAACATAACATTATTTTATCCATCGTTAAATGCATACTCTCCTTGATTACACTGAAATTAATGCCTCCAGAAAATGTATTGAGAGATATGTAGCTTACCTCATTCCTTTGTATCCTTTCCAGAAATACTATCATATAACTTACTTAGCCAGATGCTCCTTATTGAACCATCTCATCCCACCTCACCAAACAACAGACCACTAGAGGAAATACTTTTTGGCATTTCCAGCAGGATACAAATGGCTAAACTGTGCTACAAGATGCCAGGACTGTAGATAAATTTATCTATGAAGGATTAAAAAGCTTAATTAGTTGTGTTTTTCATGAGAAATCAAACAAAGGACTAGGGACTGCCCTCTGCATTAAGCATGCAAATTTCAGATCTGAATTTTGAGCCCTCAGATTTGGGGTTGTTGGGCCAGGATTTTGTCTCATCCTGTTAAAATATTGCCTCCTCCCCATACACAACTTGGATTAAAATCCAGGTTCCAATTACAAACCCCATCAAGATTAGCTTAAAGCTGGTGCAACAGCTATAATTACAGAAGCTACCTGAGCATTTGAATGCTCATTTTCTCCATTAAACCTATCTGCTTCAATGCCCCTGCACCTTTGTTTGCAGTCTAAGAAAGACAGTTCTGCCTTATTTTAAACCTCAGCTATAGCACGATATGAGGCAGTTTTTTAAAGGGAAATCTGTGGTATGCACATACATATATATACCTATACCTATTTAGGCATGTACTTAGAAAGCAGAAAAATGCAACGACTGTGAATACACACTTTTTTGGATGTTTACCAATTTACACATGAAGTTGTGGTTAATGCCTATGTAAATAGTTTAGCAAATGTACCTACAGAGAGAGGTAGAAATTTGACCCAGCAAATTAGTAACCTGTTTCATTTAAGATTCATTGATTTATAGAATGTGAGGCTGGAAGGGACCTTGGAAGATCATTGAGTCCAGCCCCTGCATCTAGCAGGAAAGACAACTGGGGGAAAGACCAGAGATCTGTTTAATGGAGTCATCCAGCTGCTCCGATTGAGGCTGTAATGAAGTATTACTGTGGTTTTTGTACCTGTTGTGACCTTAAATGAAAAAGAATGTGCACTATTTTCATGTTAGCACTTTGCAGACAAAACAAGCATGATCAGGACAAACCGTGACACTTCTTTTCCTATGGCTTTTCTATCTACCCTGCCTTCTGCCTTTTCTCTGTTCCTACATTAAAATGAGAAGTACTAAGACATCCAAGTAAAGCAAAGAATGTCTGAGGATAAGTACAGGAAAGGGAATTCTGATACTGTCAGGATGCATCACGGTCATGGACTGCAACAGACTTCTCCAGCCGCTTGTTACAGTAAGAACAGTAATTAATGTGCAGGAGGGGAAAGTGCTTGCATTGCACTTTTTTCCACACAGAGCAGGTCACAAAGGTTACATCTCATCCTGAGATGGCTTTGCTGGATACACGTGACTCAAAGGAAAACACTGACGTTGGTGACTGACCCTGTGTTCTTTGGCTGTACTTGCTGTGTGTGTGTGTCTGCCTTTATTTCTTACTTTATTAGTGAAGGTAGCATGCAGAGTAAACCAACAGTTAATGGTAAATTCTGAAAAGTGCAAGGCTTGCATCAAGTTGTGGGGGTAAAGCAAATATGGGAGTAGGTTTTCAGACCAGATGTCAGGATGACTTTTTATTTTCCTACTGGCTTTATCAGAATCAGTTGAGACCACGTCACATGAAATCTGAATATGATCTGTGAGATGACTAAGAATGCAAACAGAACATACGTAACTGTAGAGATTTTCCCTGTGTTTACTGTGCCGTTCAACACTTCCTGGAAGCGTATGTGTTGCATGATTTAGTGGCTGCAGAATTTCTTGCAGAATCTACCTCTTGCTGCAGAACTGTGCTCCACAACCTAGGCTTTTTCAGTGTGGATATTGTTAGTCTTCTAGCCTTTGTGTTTGTGAGCAAACCATTGCAGAAATGTGGGAGTGTAAACTAATTCAGTGTTGTCTGCCTGAGTTTTCAGGCAAATCTTAAATAATAGTTCTGCGGGGTGTGAACTTCCCTCTTTTATCTGTGGAGGATGTTGACTTGGAAACTTGGTGCTCTAAAGGTTAACTATTTTATTGCTGATCATTTTAGCAGAAACAGCCAACATCCTTATCAAATGATCCCCAGTTTAGCTGCTTCTAAATATGTGCTGGAGAGTTTTGCTGATTAGATCCTGAGTTTCAAAAACAATGAGTACCCCTAATTCTAGTTGAAGTCAAGGGGACATGTTGGTACTACACATCTCTAAAAATTAAGTCATTACTGTAAATAATACTACAAAGCATGCAGTTTTTAAGGGATAACTCTGCTGCTGGCTCTTAACAGGCACGGAAAAATGGATGAGTCTATTGCACAGAAAGTTGGCCTGTTTATAAGTCTTTAGGATGTTAATCCCTGAGAAAGAGATGTGTGTTGGTATGTGCTGACAAGAGAGCTTTATAGTTATTGTGTAAATGGAATGTATATGTAAAAACAGTAGTCAGGCCTGGTATATTTTCTGGGCAGTGGTATGACTACGTTTAAAGCAAATTTCTGAAAAACACCAGAATGTGTATTAGGCCAGCAGCCTTGCTTATATGGTGCCTCTAGGGCTGTGAAATTGGGAATGCTGTTCTAAAACCTCAAACCTGGGAAAGTGATTTTTAGTTTCTTTCTTTTTCTTTTCTTGTTATGGAAGACATGAAGAGGGAGAGCTGCTTCCAATTTGCTCAGCAGACCTGTTTTGGAGGAAGAGCAGAAGTACACATTTGGCTGCACTCACTGCTATCAGTCTCAATTTCTTTGCTGGATCATGGTTTGGGCTGATTATTCTGAAGGCAAAATTTGTTGCATTTGTTATTGGAATGGCACTTTCCAGATAGGCGATAACAATTTTCTTTGTTAAGTATATGCTGTAAGTCAGTATTCCTCAACCATCAGTAATAACTCAGCACAGGTGTGTCAGGCTTTGGTATCTGGCACTTGAGTATCATTCTCCCACGCCTGAATAATAAAATAAGCCCGTCTCATGGGTGTCAGAATTCCACCAGAGCCAATCTCCTCTTCAGTAACGTGTGATCAAAACTGAGGTTCGAAACATTCTGGATCCAGTTGGACATTAGAGCATGCACAGCTCAAATGCTCTAAACTTGAGGAAATTTTCATCCACATTTTGAAATTCAGGAGCCTATGCATCTAAACCACAACTTTGTTTAGTGTCATTGGCACAGACTATGTTCCAAAGTTTCTGTTAAAGGAACATCTTCTAGGCTGGATTCTTGCAGGGGCACAAAGCACTCGCAACCTCCTTGCAGGTAGCTGGCACAGCCTTCAGGTGAATGGCATTGTCTCTCTCTAGGTACAAAAGTAGTTGTGAAATTTGACCTGGTTTAACACACATTTTGAGAAAAGCACAGCAGTGGCAGTAGAGTGTGCTGTTTCCATGGAAGCAAGATTTTATAGGACCTTTGAATCCTTTTAATACAATGGCACAGTCTTTACTTGTTTTACATGTGACTCTAGTATCTAGAACTAGACGGAGACATCAGTAGCCATTTTATAATCCCTCTGCAGTATGTTTTGTTTTAATTCATGACAGTATCTTCAGAAAACTGAATTACAGACATTAGTCCACTTGACTTGTAATCAATATAGTTTAGGGACTTTTAATCATTTGTATTTATTTGTTCTGCAGATCCTGGTTGCTAAGTCCCCTGTTGCTCCATTTTCAGCTTTCCTCTACACCATTGAGAAATCTGGTTTGGTTCTTCAAGGTAAGACCTAAAAAGGAAAATATTTTGCTTTACCAAGATATGATTTAATTAGGCATAGAGGTGCTGTAGGCAATATGGTGCTGTTGATCAGTAATGAAAAGGATGTATTTGAACAACGTATCTAGCAAATGAGATTCTGTTGCTACTTTCCTTTTATTATTTAAATTTTTACTGAGTTATATTATTGCATGACCCCACATATGTGAGATTTGAGTTGAAGTAATTAATCAAATCTCCGAGCTTTCTCTAAGAGAAATGTACCTGTCTCAGTATAACATAAATTATTATATGGTCCCATCTTAGTAAGGAGGCTAAAGTCGATTAAACACAAAGCAAGTCATTATCACTTCTGTGTCCTGTTCACTCTAATATGGAGGTCACATGGCCACAAATACAGTTATGGTTTTCTGTAACATAGGCAATGCATTTATTTGTTGACAGATTAGACCACCAGAATTGTACTGAATCCAGAATTGTTAAACTAATTTTGGCTGGTTAGTGGGTTGATTTTCAGCTATTTTCAGAACTGCACCAGTGTACCATGCTGGACATATCAGCACCCACCATTCAGAAAAGCACTTTCTTGCCTGTTATGAAGCTAATGTTACAAACCTCAGGCCCCCGTGGTTGGGGTGTATGAAACACTGTCAGTGTGGTATGTATGAAAAATACAAAAAAATCCCACAATGCTAGGCTTATGATGTATTTGTGACTGGATGGGCTCAGACCTCTGGAAATGTACAGATGTCAAAAAGGGACACACAGATTTATTCAGTATATCCACTTTTGGTCCAGCTTAACTTATACAGGCGATTTGCTGTGGGGTACATTGGATGCTCTCTACTGGACACTGTACTCAATGGAGGTTAAGCCTCCCTCATTTGGTATTAGCAACTTTAAATCAGTTACAGAAATCAGCGAAAACTCTCATTACTTTAAATGAGAAAAGGAGCAATGGTCTCAAGTTGCAGCAAGGGAAGTTTAGGTTAGATATTAGGAAGAATTTTCTCACTGGGGGGTAGTAAAACACTGGAACAGGTTACCCAGAGAGGTGGTAGAATCTCTGTCCTTGGAGGTTTTCAAGACCTGGCTAGAGAAAGCTTTGGCTGGGATGATCTAGTTGGGGATGGTCCCGCTTTGGGCAGGAGGTTGAATTAGATGACCTCCTAAGTTCCCTTCCAACCCTAATTTTCTATGATTTCTGTGATACTGGCCAGGGGGGTGGTATAGACATTTTTAGGTCCATCCCAAGGCAAAAAAAGGGGCTACTTTATGCCCCTCACAAACATCTCCAGAATTATTAAAATAATCCCTAGTTAGTGAACCCATTTTCTAATATCTGAACAAAAACAAGAAAGCTTTAGGAAGGAAGGATTCCCTGGGTCAGAGACTAGATGGGTCTGTCTTGTATTTTTATTTACTTGAATCCACTTTCCTTAATTGGGAATACAGGTTGTCAGTGATTGGATCCTACCCCCTAAGACAAACAAATTGGCCCAATCTTATTTGCTGTAGTGGTAGAGTAGGATGCTCTCAAGGTGGCTTTTGAGCAGCACTCTTTTAGGGATATGGCAGTTGCTCTTTGCCTTTTATCCTTTAAATCCTGGTGAGCAAGGCTAAATCACTATTCACTGTTTTCTTAAAGGATGATAAGAGAAACCCAGATTAATCTAAACAAGCTGTATTCTCCTTTGTCTTGCATTCTTTGTACTTCTAGGAAGCAGTTGGAACCTTTTATTTGCTCTCGCAACACATTAATCTTTGATCAGGCGGTTATGCTTTTAAATTCTTTTATGTTTGTTTGTTAGGTATTTTTCCTTCCTTATTGTAGTGGAAGATGGATTTTAATAAAGGATGGGCAGAAAAAGAGGATCATTTTCCTTGCTAATTTGCTGCAGGCTATTCCGTGGAGCAGTTTAACATCCTGGGCAAAGATCAGATTGCTGTGTGAACCTTATATGTCACAGGACTAAATCTAACTCTGTGATTGGCACTTCTTGGCTTTTATACTCCCTGTTTATTTGGGTTCTATTTAATAAATTCACCTTTTTGTGATGCGGGTCTAAGTTTTAAGCCCTTGGTTGTGCAATCCTCACATACATCTGTGTGCACATACTTGTGCAGCTAGGTTTATTTACTTGAATGTGCCAGCTCTTGTGGGTAAGCTTCCCATATTCAGGACTCACATTACTATTATTGTGGTTTATTTATACTGGTCTGAGCAAAAAAGAGTGAGGCAAAACATTTGGAAATGGTTTAGTGTCAAAAAAATCTAGCTAGATAGCAGTTAGGTATCTGGTACAAGGTATCACAGGCGGCTGCCTAGAGGGTGGCTGCAAACTGCATGAAATGTGAAATCAATGCTTCTTTTTGAAAGGTAACTGGATGCTGAGCAACAGGTGACTAAGGTGAGTCTAATAAAAGATGGGACCTCTATCGATGGCTGAAGGATATCTTAGGGCTACCAAATGGAATCTGTTTCTTAAGCTAATAGCAGAAGCAGCTTACACATTCAGTCTTTGTGCAATTCAGTCGGTGTCAGGAGGTGAGCACATTCAGGGCATCTGACAAGAGAACAAGTGGATGAGTGTGGGAACTGGTGAGAAACAGCAGCTGGCTAAGATGCACAGAATTCTTTCTTCTTACTCTGGGGGTCCCATCTTGCATCTATTAACCAAGGGGCCATAAACAGATTCATATTGGAAAACTTGCATGAAGATTCCTTGATTAGAGAGAATGAGAAGGGAATAAAAGATTTAACAGTTCTACAAGCAATTCCCATTGCCACCTCTGAAGGATTAGGATGCATGGAAAGGGCTAAAACAAGGAGAAGCTTTCCCCCTGCCCCTTCTTTTGTTCCATGGGCCAGAGGATAATAAAACGGCAGGAGAGGCGGTGTGGCTAGTTAGGGATTTCACAGGCTGCTATTTGATGCAGTTTAAGGAGCCCTTCTGCTATTGTTGCAGTTAAAATGGAAAGCGGAACTGTTCTCCATTCGCAAAAATCGCCAGCGTCCTCAGGAAAAGAGGGCTGAGAGCAAAAGGCTATTAACATGGTAATGCTGCCCCATTCGGAGGAGTGCATCAAAATCCTCTTTGTCAATGTAAATTGCTGCTCTGTTTGCCTGGTCTCTTTGGATCTCCTGGTCTCAGTACAAGCACAGAAAATTTTTCAGAAGAGAGCCTAGTGAAGGAAGAACCACACCTCTTATATCATTTGAGAAGAGCTCCGGGCTGCTCAAGGGCACCACAGGGAGAAACTTCTTTGCCTTTGTACACTTGAAGTGTTCAGGGATGAAAAGGATCCAGTTATTCACTCATTCTTTTATCCCAGCTTTCAGTCTAGAGAAATGCAACTTGACAATTGGAAAATAAGGATGGCTAGTCGGAAGGTTTAGCCAAGAAAGACAGCCTTCTGCTCTCCTCATTTCCTAACTTGAATATGGTATGTGTTGGGAGGAGGGAGTAAACCCCAATTATTTTTACAATGTTATATTCTTTAGTTCCCTAGTGGGCCCGATCCAAGATTCCAAAATCAAAGCCAACTGTGGATCTCAGCGTTTGTTATAAACGGTCTTTATTTAAATCATGGGACAGATCAAAAGTCTGGATACAAGTATCCCAAAATGTTGAGGTTTGTTTTCTTTTCTGTTCTTTTTTTTTTTAAAGCTGAAACCAAATTTTGTTGCAGTCCTCTCTGTCTCCCCCAAATGTAACATAAAATTGTGGTTGAAGTCAGGAAAATGACTCTTTAAAAAATGGCAATAATGATAATAATACAAGGTTCATTATTTATATTTATGTTCTTCCAATAAATCCAGATCTAGTTGATTAAGTGTGTAAAGCAATTTTTCTTGTTGTTAGGGGTATAAACTCTATTCTGTTGGAAAACCCAGTTGGGTCCTTGTTTATACACCAATTCTGGTAATAATGAGGCCACTGACAGTTAGCCAACGGTTTTGTTGCCAATGTGTCATTCAGAATAGACTCCAGCCTGCTCTCCCCTAGTTGCGTGGTTTGGGCAGAGCTAAATGGAAGAAACATTTTTAGGTCAGTAAGAGCTGGCAGATGTGATTTAGCTGTGTGCACATAAGCAGGGACAAGACGGGTTGGAAAAGATGTCAGTTTTATACTGTATTCTGCAGACATTTTTGTGCCTATAGCAGAAGCCACATTCTGAGGCATAAACATAAGCAAGTGATAGAATCAAGCATTTGTACAAACTCAATTGCCTGTGAAATTAAGTTTCTTTCTTCCTGCTCCTGCCAAACATCCTCTCAGTTTGAGAGAACACCATACTTAAAAGGAAAACTGTGGAGTTTGGTGGCCATTTGCACCTAAGTGTCCCTGCCACATCCCCAAAAGGTAAAATTACTGTGTCTTTTACTCTACTAGGAAACTCACCTTGTTGCTTGCTGTAAGAAACCACTCTTTATAAGAGATCCAGAAACCACAAACCAGTAATATTTGAGAGTGAGGTAGGATCTGAAAAGAGAAGTTACTTATTTGAGTTTATAGGTTTCTAGAGTTTAAGCTCAGAAGGGACCAGCAAATCATCTAGTCTGACTTCCCATGTATCACTGGCGGATTCACCCAATGCTTTGGTGATGTGTAGGGGGTGCATGTGGGTACACGTGCGCCCCCTGAGCATGGCGGTGCACCCCCTGCAAAAAGGCACTGCCAGCACTCCTGATGGCATCTGCGGGCAGTGCACAATCGTCTCTGGCCACCGCCGACGCTGCTGGCGGTGTCTGCAGGTGGTCGCCAACTACTAGTTGGTGTTCAGCACCCCCCACCGCCAACAGCGCTGCGGCTGCCCGCATCAGCTCCCCGCTTGTCTCCGTCACACTTCTGCCACCAACAGTGCTGCTGCCGCCTGCAGGAGCTCGCCGTGCCTCCCCAGCCTCTAGAGGCATGCAGCATTCAGTCACCTCTACATCAATCCCAATAATGTGTATCATACTAAAGCCCCTGGTGTACATGCAAGTGAAAGTGCAGTGGTATCTGATGCATGATGCCCACAATCACACTTCCTGCCATGCTGCAGAGGCATACCATGTGCTTCTGGGGCTGAGAGCCCCGTGGGCAGATCCCAGCTGCAGGGTCACACCATGCCTCTGTGGCTGGGAGCCATCAGCCGATCCAGGCTGCTGGCCACAGGAGTATACCATGCACCTCTGTAGCTGGGAGCTGTCAGCTGATGGGGCTCCCAACTGCAGGTGTGCACCATCCACCCCTGTGGCTGGGATCCGTCAGCTGGGAGCTCTAGCTTGGCCACACATTCAATTAACGGCATGATAGGAACCAACCACGAAGTTATTGCACATTTTTATGTAATAACTTTGTGGCTTATTCCTTGTTTATCATGCTATTAATTGCACTAATGTGTGGTCTGGTAACAACCTGGGACATGATTAACTGAGTTAATTGCATCTAAACTGTAATGTGTGCCGGGGACCTAAAGTATATCTTTCAGAAAGGCACTCAGTCAAGAGATGGTGAATCCACCACTTCCCTTGATAGCTTATTTTTTTATAGTACTGGGGTACAGGTGATCTGCCAAATGGCCAGAGCCATGGTGGAGAGCACAGGTGTCTGAACCAGGTTTCTAGCATGGACTGGAGCAGGTATTTACAACACATCCAGATCATCCACAATAAAGACACAGTTATTTTACCCAGTGCCCGTTTTTTTTTTTCTTACTCTGTGAAGACAGAAGTGAAAGCCCTTGATAGGTGACCCATGAAAGATGCAGCTGGAAGTATTCTCAGAATGTTTGACTTTTTTCCGGGAATTGGATGAAAAAATTAATTAAAGTGTCTAGAGAAAACAGGAGTTCCATTCAATTTCCTTATTCA